CCTGTCACTGCTGTCGTAGCTCTGTGCGTGGAGCTGTTCACACGCAGTCCCAGGCTGGGATTCCTGAGTATCTGTGGTTGGGGAGTGGAAGGGGCGGTCCGTGGGCTTTCTGGGTCATCTTATGTGCTCTTGGTCAGACTTTCCATGTACTCTTCCCATTTTGCAGCCATCCTTTCCAAATCCCTTACAATTGATCGTTTTTATAATGGATTTCTGCAGGATGTGCCATCACTGCTGCTTTTAGCAGCAAAACTCTTAAATTAAGAGCTAGGCTTGTCATTTTCTGAAATCAACATTCATTTGTATTCTATTTTTCTTCCTGCTCCAGTGGATCCCAAAAGCAGAGAAGTGATTCGAAACGCTTGCAAGGCTGTAGGCTCCATTAGTGACACGTCGTTTGACATTCGGTTTAACCCAGATATTTTCTCACCAGGTATGTGTACAAAGGGCTGGTTTTAGTCCCCCTTCAGGGGATCGCTGTGTCCACAAAAAATTGTGTTCTGCAGCCAAGAATATTGCTGGCTTTTGGCTAGCCAGGCTGGTGCAGGATTCTCCATGAAGCACAAAGAGACAGAAAAGAGAAAGAAGCGTAATTGATGGCAATGCTTGAACCGCCAAAAGCGGGCAGTAAGCTGTCTCCCACCGCTACGCTCGAGGGAGGTCTGCAGATCGCTGCCAAGAATCTTCTTGTGATTCTCCAGCATCCCAGCTGCTAGGCCACATGAAAAGAAGCAGAGGGAGGGGAAAAAATTAAATTTGATCCTAATGTAGTAGTTTACACAAAAAACAACAGTTGTAGTCAAACGGCTGATGCAGTTGGATCCTGAGTGAAGGGCAGGGTTTGTTTTGGTGACATTATGGTAAGCAGGTCGCACTGCCCTTGCAAAGACGTGCATCAGTCCCAGGCAGTGTGTGCAGCATTCCATATCTGGAATTGGTATTTTTTTATTTGGAAACACAGCAGAACCTCCCAGAGTGTTTATGGGGGTGAATACCAAGGCTGTGTGCATGCAAATTGCGGGGGAGTGGCCGTGAAGTTGAATTTAGCTTGGAATAAATGTCAGAGGGAACATGTGTTTTGAAATGCCCAAACATCTTCTGAGGCTCATAAGGATGAGTGTTCTGGCACTGACTTTGCAGCTAAAACTTGAAATTTTATTTTAATTCTGGTGTGCAAAAGCAAAAGGCTCTGAGTTTCTAGCACCTGCAGTATTTGCTGACCCATGTGCTGAAACATTCCCACTCCAGTCTAGCCAGGTGGCTCTTCCGCACTGGAAGCGGACACAGCACTTTGCAATAGGTAGGGTGGACTAGATAAAGAGCAGAATTTTGGCTTTTAAAAGCTGTGTTAAGAAAGAATGTGTGGGCAGGAGCAGCACAGGCACTAACCAAGCAGAGCAGCTAATGCTCTTTCCATAGAAACATGTTGTAGATAAGTTTTGAACTTGTTTTTTCTTTGAGTTGATGTGTGTTATGTTTTTTCTCTTTTACTCTCCTAGGTGTTCGTTTTCCCGAGTCTAGCAAAGAGGAGGTGCAGGAGCAGAAGCAGTTGCTGAAGGATGCTGCCGCGTTCTTGCTGTCATGCCAGATCCCGGGTCTGGTAAGGAACTGAGGACCAGCGGTGATGTTCTCTCTGACAGCTTGCCTCCAGCCTGGCTGCTCTGAGCAAGCACTGACACCGGGGTATGCCAGCCTCGCCTCCCAGGCGGGTGCTGTGCTCACTGCCGAGCGCTGGCACCGTGGTGAGGTGCGGTGAACAGCACAGGCAGCTCTGGTGCAGGCACAAGAGGGGTTTTCCATTTCCCCTCTTGCATCGTGGCACAATTTTCCCACCTCACTCCAACAAAGACTTTTTGGCACTAGTAATTAACAGCTATTGCTGAGAGTTTGGGACAAGAAAGCACATAAAGTCGTCCTCCCTAGCCCTGGGCGTCCTGCGCGACTTACTGCATTATCCGACCCTGACTGTGACTCAATTGGTGACTAATAATTTGGAGTGAACTGGGAAATCTTTCTTACTAATATCTATTGTGAAAACCCTCTGTCAGTCTTAAGCGTTTTGGATGCTTACTGTGCATCTGGCTAGATAAGAAATACCAGCTTTTCCCTTCTCAGGACACTCTCTAAATTGACTGCTAACGCATATGTTACAGCAGGCACTGTAATGAGGAGGGTGGAATCAATGACTTCCACTCCAGGAAGCTCAGGAGTTGTTGGTGTTGTATAGGAGGGGATTTTCCTTGCTGGAGAGCTTCTTCTGAACTCTCAGTCCACCACTTCTGTAGTCAGCCATAACCTTTAAGACCAGCTATTCAGTCTGTAAATAGCAAAGGAGGGAGAGAGAATCAGAGAAGGGCTTGGTGACTGTTGTTTTACAAGATAGTCGATGCACTAGTATATAAACCCAAAATGCTGCACGAGCCTGTGCGAGGGCAGGTAACACGCCAGCTGCTGTGAGCCGGCAATCCTCCGTACGCTGCGTAGCAGAGTAACCGGTGTTACTCCATGACGTGGATTAAGCGACTCTTTATCAGCACTGCAACACAACTTAACATGCAAATGCCATTTCCTCTTATCAGCTGAGTGTGTACAGCTCCACGCAGTCTTTTAATTGGAAATGTTTTTAGTTAGTGACTGTGAGGCCCGTAAAGAAGGGTTAGCCCATGAGTTCCCCAAGCATTAGTTAAATCAGCCATGCCGAGGGGAAAGCGGTTCTCGTTGCCAGAGCCACAGGAGTCCTCTGAGTCCCTGCTCTGCTCCCGAGTTCCTCTGTGGCCTCGGGCGCACTGCTGGAAGCGGTGTGCCGAGTTATGCTGAATGATGCTGAGCGCCGTTGCCATCTCTGCTGGTCTCCTCGGGCCGCCCCAGACCCTGTGTGCTCAGCACCTGGGTATGACCGATCGTCTGTGCTGCCCCACCGGGCCTCTGCGGGTTCTGCATGGGGAGGCCGATGGAGCCCGAGCTGTTTGGCTCTGACAGTTCCTCTCTGTCCCTCAGCTGCCCCGTGCACGAGCTCCTGCAGTGCCTTTATCCGCTTTGCCGGCAGCGGAGCCCATGGCCCCAGGCAGGGAGGACGCTGCAGCCCTGGCTCTGGCTGATCTGTGCTCTGTGCTTGCCAGTTCCTGCTGTGCTTGTAACTTAAACTTCATCCCTGGAAGTTGCCTTCTGCGTCAGGCAACGCCTTTTTCCCTCTCCAGTAATTTTTTTTTTTTAAATTGAAATTCTTCCCTTTGTTTGCTGTCAATAGCCAAAGTTTGTACGTACCCTGCAGGTCAAAGACTGCCTGGATCACACGGTGCTGCCGATGGACGGGGCTACCTTAGCTGAGGCCATGCACCAGCGGGGCATCAACATGCGTTATCTCGGCAAAGTGATCAACTTCATCACCAAGACCCCTGGCCGTGCTCAGCTGGATCACATTTTTGTAAGTATCGGGCTTAGCTTCAAACTGTTGGTTAAAACCACCTCTGGCAGAATTTGCCCTGTACAGGTTCCAACTTGGCCAGTTGTTTTCTCTGTGTGAAAATAAACAGCTTCCAAAATAGAGGAGGAGGAGGAGGGAGAAGGGCCTGTAAGTGCCACATGGGAAGCTTTGCTCCCAGATCCTTAATGGGTTTCATGGCATTAGGGACTTCGAGTGGCCTTTGGGATAGAGAAGTGTTTCAGGGATTCCCAAGCATAACAGCAGATAACACAGTTGGATTTTAAGCCGTGCATTTTTTTATGCCTCGAAGATCCATCAGGGCTTTGAATCAAACTGGAGAGCGTTGTGAGCACGGCTGCCCAGGAGCACGTGCAGGGCGGGTGCTGCGGTGGCTCCTAGAAGCACGGATAGAGCTGAGCCGCACGTGGTGGCATGTGGGCACCGTGCAGGGGGGCTTTCCCAGCTCCAGGAGTGCTGTCAAAGGTCTGTGCTGCAGGGGAAGGGCTGCAGAATGCATCTTCTGCAGATCTTGATAAAAGCCCACTTCAAAAGCGCAGCGTATTTTTAATTGTTATTGCCGACTGACTCTGAGCCTCTGTTCTCTGTTCCTTTGGGTAGAAAATAGGAATCAGTGAATTGATCACTCGATCGGCTAAACACATCTTCAAGACGTACCTCCAGGTATGACCTGCAGTCTAACCTCCTGCCTTGCTGTCCTCTCTAATGACTTTTTTCCACAAATAGAGCGCGGTTTGAGTCTCTCTGCTCATTAGGCAGTTCGTGGGGGTTGCCTGGTAACGGGCAGTACAATCTCATCAGCGCTAAAAGAGGTGCAGGCCTGCGCGTAAGGGAAAACAAGTTCCCACTTGAAGACAGCTTTCCCAGAGAGTGATCATTCATGCTCTCTTCCCCAGATTCTCACTCATTATGTTGAAGGCTTTTAAAAGTGAAATCTCAGCTTGTTTTCCTTGTAACACCTTTTCCTCTTAAACAGTGTTGCTTTTGCCCTTCTGAGAAGCTTTTTTCATTCCATAAACATTAGTGCGTCCTAGTACCTGTCAGTGCATAGCGTAGCGATACACCTGGCTGCATTCCATGGCTAAATCTTGTTCACACTCTGCAGTCTCTCTGTCCCAGGTCGCAGCCCCCAATGGAACTATGTATTTGTGTCTGTGGGTATATCCTTATATCTACATAATTCTGTCTGTGCCACTTCCACTTGCAAATATTGCCTTCTCTTCCCTCTCCTGGAAGATTTTCCCGATTCCGGTAGGGCTGGATTTGCGTGGGGCTCAGTGCCTGTGTGATGGCAGGTGTCTTCCAGGACTGATTCTGGTGTCTCGCTGCAGGGCGTGGAGCTGTCGGGTTTGTCAGCAGCCATCAGCCACTTCCTCAATTGCTTTCTGAGCTCCTTCCCAAATCCCATCGCCCATCTTCCAGCTGATGAGCTGGTCTCCAAGAAAAAGAACAAGAAAAGGAAAAACAGGAACCTTGGAAATGCTGATAACACGGCATGGGCCAGCATGACCCCTCAGGAGCTCTGGAAGAATATTTGCTCGGAAGCGAAGAACTACTTTGATTTCAGCCTGGAATGGTGAGCAGAGCAAACTGCCCTCGACTCTCACCCAGTGTCTGTAACTTTTTCTTTAATAGGACCTGCCTTGTGACTTGTTTTTTGTTCGAATATCAATTTGTACTCTTGAGGGGAGTTTTATGGGCTTATAAAGGAAAGAAATTGGGCAAAGAGCAGCAGGGGAAAGTGTAACTGAAATTTGCAATGAGATGACACTGATGAGGCCAAGGCAGGTAGGAGGTCGTTGGCGAAAGCGGTGATTGTCCCTCGCGCCAGGGACAGCTCGCTCTCACCCACAGCTGGAGGCATCCAGGCTCCACCTGAACTCCCCAAGAGCGCACACGTGGGATTTCAGTAGAAAGCCCTGTTGTGCATCGCTGTAAGCCTTCACAGACCGTTAGCAACGGCTGGAATGTTAGTCCTTGGTTCCAGTCAGCACCGAGCTGTGCGGGGACCTGTGCCCCCGGTACCCCACCCTGGAGCATGGCGCTGGGCAGGACCTGACCGAGAGCTGACACCTGGTTGTGCTTTTTGCAGTGAGAACGCCGACCAAGCGGCTGAAGTGTATAATCTACAGAAAATCACCCTGCTCCGTGAAATCTCCCTCAAAACTGGAGTCCAAGTAAGATCCCCATCTTCCCTCCCTTCCCCATCACGTTCTCTGCTGAGAAGCACGAAGAGTGACCACAGACTGTGCTGGGGGACAGCCTTCCGGGCAGAGCGCGGGAGCCCCTGTGGGATACAGGCTCCAGCCCTGGGGAAAGGGATTTCTAACCCTGTTCCCTGTTAGGGTGAACTTGCTGTGCGCCTCCCCAGCAGAGGAGCCAGCCTGAGCACTACTCCTGCAGCTCACTGTCTGACAGACCAAACCCGCAGCTTGAATTCATGCACACGCCTACTCCCCACCCACAGACAAGCAGCCCTTTGGCTGAGCAGAGCCGGGCTTTGGGGTCGGCCTTGCTGGCAGCACAGGGGGTTTCCTTCCCCGCAGCACTGCCTTCTGGCTCTGCCGTGGGGTGCGGGAGTGTGGCTGGATGGGGTCACGGGTCCAGTACTGGCACAGCCACGCCTTGGCACCGTGGTGTGATCTAGCCGTGCACACCTGGTCGTGTGCGCCTACACGTGACCTGCCAAAACTCTGTCCCCAGGTGGGGACACAGGAGATGTCCCCAGGTGGGGACACAGGAGATGTTTTGGCTGTGAATCCATGTGCAGAATCCAAGGCTCACTTCCCCTCTTTTCCTGACGAGCACCTAGGACAGTGGTGATTGTCACCTCTGGTCTTTTCGGTTCCTCCAGATACTGCTGAAGGAGTACAACTTCGACAACAGGCACAAGCCCACCTTCACAGAAGAGGATATTCTCAACATCTTCCCTGTAGTGAAGCATGTGAACCCCAAAGCCTCCGACGCTTTCCACTTTTTCCAGAGCGGGCAAGCAAAGGTTCAGCAAGGTACAGACCCAGCACGCCTCTGCCTCCTGGGGCGAGCGCTGGTAAAAGGGTGAGCAGCCTGGTCCGCTGCTCTCCCCCAGTACACCCCCACCCACCCAGTTTGGAGGAGGATGGTGGTCTCCAAGCCCATCTGAACCACACGCCTGCTGTACAGTTACCACCAGTGAACAGGGCTGTGTGCAGGGCAGCGGTGTCCTTCTCCGAGGCGATAGTCCTCGCCCAGGGCAGTGTGTCCCTCTGCTGGTTTCTCTTCATGGGCAGCACTCCCCTCCAGCAGCGTGGGGGTTATTTAACATACATACAGACAGGAATATAACTTTTTTCAGGTTTCTTGAAGGAGGGCTGCGAGCTCATCAATGAAGCCTTAAACTTGTTCAACAATGTGTATGGTGCTATGCATGTAGAGATCTGTGCCTGCCTGAGGCTGCTAGCTCGTCTCAACTATATCATGGGGGACTATTCAGAGGTAGGCAAGGGCTCGGCTGGGCTCTGTTCAGTCCTCAGTCCTTCCCCGTGCTCGCTCGCTCACGTGCGCGGCACTGTGTGACTTGCTCTTGGGTCTTCTGTTCCGTTCAGGCCTTAAGTAATCAGCAGAAAGCGGTGCTAATGAGCGAGAGGGTCCTGGGTATCGAACATCCCAACACCATCCAAGAATACGTAAGTACAGGGCGCTGGGGGAGAAGCAGCACCTTGTGTGTCCGCCTGGAGTCTGCGAGCCTTAATTCGTGTCTGCGTCTAGAAAACAGCTGCAGTTCTCCTTGCTTCTGCCCCGTTCTTCCCCGAATCCTCCATTTTCATTATAATCTTTGTATCTTACAGTTTTGTAAAGCAAATACCAAAGTGTTTGCATTATAAACGTCCTGCGTTGTCAGTATTTGTCCTTAGTTTAGAATTGTGGGGGTTTGTTTGATGAATGTTTATTTACATTCATTCATTCTGCTGGCTTTTGCCCAAAAGAGCAAGAATCCCCCCAGAGTGCAATCGAAATATCCTGTATGCACAGGTCCATTTTGAAATATTCCTTGAGAAACCAAAATGAAACACTTCAGCTTCCTCAGCACTGTGTCTTTTGTGGTACGTCAGTGGAGCTGTGAATCAGCCAGCAGGCTTGGACTTCTCTGGTTGAAATCCTTTTTAACCATCAAGAAAGATCTTTTATTTGTGTGCCGCTGAGGAGAGGAGTGAGGAGGAGAGACGAGATTGTTTTACAGGGTGGTAGGTAAAAACCGTCAGTGCTGGGTCCCTTCTGTTGCAGATGCACCTGGCTTTGTACTGCTTTGCCAACAGCCAACTCTCGACAGCACTGAACTTGCTGTACCGCGCACGCTACCTCATGCTGCTGGTGTTCGGGGAGGATCACCCGGAAATGGCACTCTTAGATGTGAGTCGAGTTCTGATCTCAAAGAAACCTCTTGCCCTTTTCAATGCCCATGTTGGTGGCTTCTTGAAACACGCGTTCAGGCGCCGCTCTGCGCTCCCTGGCGTGCTGCTGGTTGGTGCGGTGGTTGAACGGCGCAGAGGGGTTTGGCTCTTCAGCCTCCCACAGCTGGAGCTCTGCACAGGGACGCTGGAGACGTGGGTTCAGGAGCCTGTGCTCCTGGGGTGAATTCCTTAGTTTAGCCTGTTCCTGTTGCCTTGGCATAAAGCGGAGGGAGTTCCTCATCTCTCATCTGGTTTGTTTGCACTGAGCTCCCGTCGGGGCGAGGGGTCTCCTGGCGCGTGGTCCGTGCTGTCGGGATCCCCGCTGGGGCTTGGGGGCTGCTGCAGCCTTTGACAGGGACATACCTGTGGGGTCTGGGTGTTTACGGAGCAGTAAACGCGTGGTTTGAATTTGCCTTTCTGAATGCCTGCTTGGCTTCTTCGTGCAGAACAACATCGGCTTGGTGCTCCACGGGGTTATGGAGTACGACCTGTCCCTCCGGTTCCTGGAGAACGCGCTGGCCATCAGCTCCAAGTATCACGGCTCCAAGTCTTTGAAAGTTGCACTAAGGTGAGGTGGGGCAGAGGAAGGGCTGGGTCACTGGCCTGTTAAAGAGAGTGAGTGGACTCACTGTGTGCTTCCATGGAGGGATCTGATCCAGCTGGATCCTGGTAAATGGAGATTGGGTCTGGTCCCAGCCTCCTCGGGACCGCTGGGCTGTGGAGCCAAGGTCATGGGGCAGCATCTGAGTTTGTTGTCTCAAGGACAGAGATCCCTTGTTAGTTGTGGGATCTGCTGTAATGCTGGTTGCCCGAAAAATCTGTGAAGGTTTTGTGGACTCTGAGTAGAAACCGTATGTGGCAAGTTCAGGTTGGAGAGCCAGGCTGGGAGCCTGGGGTGGGACGTAAGCGTGTATTTAATTGTCAGCCCTCGCAGAGCCATCTTTGAGAAGCGTGGAGTTTGCTTTTGTCCTTCACCATAAAGCCTTGGGTTTGAATAAAATACTGAGGAGCTTCCTTGTGTTTCCAAGGGAGCTCTGAGCGGTCGGCACCTTTAGGATCTGCTCCGAGTCCCGCTGCTCGGCAGAGCCGTACGCACCGTCCTTGGCGGCAGAGCTGGCTCGCCATCAGCCGAGCAGTGGCCCACTCCTAATTACTGCCGCCACATTGCAGCCCATCTGTTCTTCGTCAGGGTGAAAATAAATCTTAGTAAGCACCCAAAAGAGTCTGATTTGTCTTCCAGCAGTTGATGGATCTACATTCTGCAGAAAGCATCTTGCCTCCCCCAGTAGCACTGAGATGCTTGATGAGGTTCATCACCTCTCTCAGGGTCACACTGCCAACAGGAGAAATCTTTTTTATTCCAGAAACACCACGGAAGCGGAGTCCCAGCCAAGCCAGCTCTCCCAGCTGGGAGAGCCCAGGTGACCTTGGTCCCAGCTCTGCCGCTGTTTTGATGGTTGTTTCTTTGCTGAAAGATGTTTTTACTTTTGGCTGTGAATAATCAACAAGACTATTAATCAAACAGACCCTTTTTGAAGGGCGAGGGCTTATGGCTGCTTCCTCCTTCTTTCTCCAGTTAACAGTGGGGAGAAGGCAGCTGCCCGGCTGTGCTGTATTCAGCGTCCAGAATCCGCCTCCTTTGACACTGGTATTAAGACTTGGAGCCTAAACGCTATGTTAAAGTCCTACCCGCTGTCCTGCAGAAATGTTTCTTTTTCATGAAAGTACCTCTAAACCCTTCTCCTTCCCTCAGCCACCACTTGGTAGCCCGAGTGTACGAGAGCAAAGCCGAGTTCCGGTCAGCGCTGCAGCACGAGAAGGAAGGCTACACCATCTACAAAAACCAGGTAAGGAGTGAGCAGGGCACGCTGCTGGCTTGTGTCGCCGCTTTGCTGCCAGGACCGAGCAGCACCCCTGCAAACAGCGCCGCGTCCCGGAGCGTGGTGCGGCCCGTCCGACAACCAGCCGGAGCAGATGCCAGCGATTCTTCTTTCTGGGGCCGGGGCAGAACTGCTGCCCTGTACAGTGCCAAAAGTCTTTGGCCTTCTGCAAGGTTGTCCTCGCTGCACCCCTGTCCCTGGACAGACACTGGTGCTGGTGTCCCGGCCCCGCGCCGGAGGAGCTGGTCTGTCCTTTCCTCTTTTTGCACCAGCCGCCTTTTGAGTGTCAGATCCACCCGAGGGTGGTAGTTGAGCTGTTCCACAGCCCGTGCTGCACAGTGAAACTCTGTGTCGGCTGGGGTCTGTCTGAACACGTCTGCAGTCATACCCGGTGATCCGGCACCGCCTCGCCGGCTGAGAGCACGGCCCGGCAGAGGGAATGCCGCTCGCCCTGCCAGCGTGCTCCTACTTGATAGAAATGTGTAATGTTGATAATAAGGCTCCTAGAGGAATTTTTGTTTGTTTGTTTTTTTGAATGCCAAGGCGGGTGAAATCCAGTTCTGAGTTTCTAGAAGGATGTAGAGCCAGCAGAGAGCAGGACTCCTGTTCTGATTTGTGATGTCGTTCCTTTTTAATATTTTTTTTTCCTTTTCTGATTTAGCTTGGAGAACACCATGAAAAGACCAAAGAGAGCTCCGAGTACTTGAAATACCTGACTCAGCAAGCAGTCGCTCTTCAACGCACAATGAACGAGATTTACAAGAACGGCTCCAACGCCAACATCATGCCGCTGAAGGTAACCTTATGCAATGGGGGCAATGGAGAGCACTTGTCACAACGGCAGGGATTTGTGTGTAGCTGCCCCTGAAGGATGTGTTGGTGTTTGTGTGCAGATGGTGCTGGTGCGGGAGGGTCACGGCTGTGCCGGCTGCAGACCCCTCACGGGCCAGAGGTCCCTGCACAGGCAGAGGTTAGGACACACGTGGCACTGTGTAACTGATACCAGCTGTTTGTGCTCTCCGTGTCCGAGCAGAGTGGTTCTAGGCTCTGGCTCTCTCCTGAGCTCGGGCAGCGTTGCAGCACCCGGGAAACTGGGCATGGAGGCGCTGGGCAGCCGGGAGCCGGGGACACCTACACCAAACCCGCCCCTCTGACTCACCGGCTGCGGGCAGGTTGCTCAATCCAAAAGTGCTTCAGTTTCCTCATCGTAAAAAATGCTGTCATCCTTCACTGGGTGCTTTGTTCTCCTTCCAAGGATTTTGTGGCGTGGGGTGGCTGGGCAGCGGAGCGGAGCGGGGGGCCCT